CTGTCTGTCAGCCACCAGTGAGTCAGAACCGCTCCCTGTTCTCCTCTGTCCCATCTAAGCCACCAGTGTCTCTGGAGCCTCAAAACGGGACATATGCAGGACCAGCGCCAGCATTTCAGCCGTTCTTCTTCACTGGAGCATTTCCATTTAATATGCAAGGTAATGCCTTCCCAGCAGACAGCCTCTGCCTCGGGAGTGAGGTCTGTTTAACTGGGGTGTACGCAGAATCAGGGGAAGGTTCCAGGACCTTTTCCAAGGAACTCCCTTCTCTCAGGATTGATACACTGTAAACTTTTTACTTGAAAATATGGAAATGTTGTTCCTTTTCTATCATTCCTAGGAACAAAAATTTTTTTCTTGCTGGGTATGGTGGTGCACACCTTTAATCCCAGCACTCGGGAAGCAGATGCAGGCGGATCTTTTGTGAGCTCAAGGCCAGCCTAGTCAACAGAATGAGTTTCAGAGCAACCAGGGCTACAGAGAGAAACCCCGTCTCAAAAGACCCCCCCCAAAAAATTTTTTTATGAATATGAGTGTTTTGCCTTCATGTAAGTGTGCCATGTATGGATGGTGCCCACAGAGACCAAAGAGGTGCCAGATCTCCTGGAACTAGAATTTCAGGCCTCATGAGCCATGTGGCATATGGGTACTGGGAACTAAACTCTGGTCCTCTGCAAAAACAGCAAGTGTTCTTAAAAGCTCATCCATCTCTCCAGCCCTTTTCCCCTAATATTCTTGATAATTCTTGATGATTCTCTATAATATTGAAGGGTTCGGAGAGTTATTTGGTGAAATAGGCTATCATTCCTTCTCTGTTTTTTACTTGCTATTCTTCTATAATGAAGGACTTGGGGGGCAGGGCCGGAGAGATGGCTCAGTGGTTAAGAGCACTGGCTGCTCTTCCAGAGGACCTGGGTTCAATTCACAGCACCCACATGGCAACTCACAACTTTATGTAATTTCAGTTAAGGGGATAAGATAAAATTTAAAAAAAGATCTCAGTAAAGAAGGACTTTTCTGGGGCTGGAGAGAGAGTGGTTAAGAGCATTGCCTGCTCTTCCAAAGGTCCTGAGTTCAATTCCCAGCAACCACATGGTGGCTCACAACCATCTGTAATGAGGTCTGGTGCCCTCTTCTGGCCTGCAGGCATACACACAGACAGAAAATTGTATACATAATAAATAAATAAATATTAAAAGAAGAAGAAGAAGAAGAAGAAGAAGAAGAAGAAGAAGAAGAAGAAGAAGAAGAAGGAAGAAGAAGAAGAAGAAGAAGAAGAAGGACTTTTCCTTCTCAGTTATAGCCATACTGACTTTTTTCTGGTATGACTGCTTTGCTTGCATGAATGTTTGTATACCATGTATGTGTCTGGTGTCCTCAGAGGCTAGAAGAGGTTATTGGATATCCTGGAATGAGTTACAGACAGTTGTGAACCACCCTGTGGATTCTGGGAATTGAACCCGGGTCCTCTGGAAGAGCAGCCAGTGCTCTTAACTGTTGAGCCATCTCTCCAGCCTGGACTCATAATTCATATTATATTCAGTGTGTTGTAATAATTTGATACAGTCATTCTTTTGATATTCAGATTATTCCTAATTTAGCCAGTGGGAACCCCTTCAAGCTAGTTCTTAATGTTCTATGAACACATCCCCATTATTCTTGGAACACATCCTTATTTCTAGTGCAACAAGATGTTCCTGATTTATAGTGTCATTTTCCCCACTCCAACACTGCAGTTCACCGTTCTCCTAGGAGCCCTGGTTCTTTTGGGTAGAGAGTAGGATTAAGAAGCTAGGATGTGGACATTAAGTGTCCTTCTTGCTATAGGTGTAACAGTTCTAGGCTTAATTAGAGAGAAGGGAAAAGAAGGGATGATATAAAGAGAGGATGGGAGAAGAGAAGGAAGCAAATAAACATACATGTGTTTGTATGTATATACATATTCACATGTATATGCATACTCATGTATATTTCTCTTTCTGTGTATGTATTTGTTTGGTTTTGTTTGTTTGTTTTTGGCAGAGTCTCACTATATAGTCCTGCTAGGCCCAAAACGCATGTAGAACAAGCTAGTGTTGAATTCATAGAGATCCACCTGCCTGTGCTTCCCAAATGCTAGGGTTAAAGGAGCACACCATGCCTGACTGTTTTAAGAACATTGGAAACCACAAGTTCATTCAGACAGTTCTAGTTTCAGTAAAATCCATGCCGTCTGGTGTACACTTACCTTTCCTTTTCACCTGTTTTCACCTGACTTCCTAGTTTTGAAGACCTGGTACCATAGCTGCTAATGTCGGACCTATGATGCTGTGCCGTGTCTGTACTTTAAGAGCAGGACAGAACTGACAAATGCATGTGAATACTTGGCTTCAGGCATCTTGACGCCAGTTCTGGAATGTAAAGGCGGATAGATTGTTTCTAACTCTGGCTCATGCCTGTCATGTTACCTACTCCCAAGCAAGGATCCTCACTTAGCAAGGTGTAGTGTTTCAACTCCTGCTTAGATTTAACTTTTTTTTTTTGTTCCTTTGCCGTTTTTGTTTTGACTTGGCAATAGATTTTTTTGTTTGTTTTGTTTTTATTTTTGTTAATAGGTTTGGTATGTAGCCTAAGCTGGACTCAAACTCACAGAGAGATCTGCTTGTCTCTGTTTCCTGAGTTGCTAGGATGAATTGTTTTTGGTGTTATGAGAAGTCCAGGCTGTCCTTCTCACTCCACTTCATATTGCTGGGATTATAAATGTGTGATGGAATCCATTCCTGCCTCCTTTTCTGTCTTTATTTCAAGGAATGTTATGTGTCCTAAGTAACTTTAGATACATAATTGTTGAATCCTGTCAGAAGATCTCTCGGGGACCACATCTTGTCCTGCCATCTTTCTGACCGTCTTCTCCTTTCCCTACGCATGTGCAATTGGTACTCAAACCCTTCTGGAGTCTTTACCTCCTTATGTCCGATGACAGAGATTAGTGACCCTTACAGAGCTAGGATAGCTGTTACTCCTGCCCCCTTTTGCTTGGTGAACCACAGTGGAGAAGACAATGTAGGAAACTGCTCCAACAGAGCCAGCAGTGGGTGTAAACAAACCTTCCTGACTGGCCTAGGTTTCTTAGTGGGTGGCACAGACCTTCACTTCCACACACTGAGCTACACTTCTCTTTCTCTAGAGCTGGTACTCAAGGTGAGGATTCAGAACCCATCTCTTCGGGAAAATGATTTCATTGAAATTGAACTGGATCGACAGGAGCTCACCTACCAAGAACTGCTCAGAGTGAGCTGCTGTGAGCTGGGTGTTAATCCAGACCAAGTGGAAAAGATCAGGAAGTTACCCAATACTCTGCTGAGAAAGGTAAGAAGTCTGCCCAGCACAACTGAGTGGCTGCTGTCTGCATTTGGAGCACGGCTAACTTCTTCCTTGGTTATTGAGTCATAGCTGAAGGGAAGGCCAGTAAGTAGCAAACGGCTAAGGGAGCTAAGGTCATAGTTCAGTTGTATTTATTGTTTGTCCTAGGCCAGCAGTGGATTTATGGCAGTCCTCCTGTCTCAGCCTCTTGAGTGCTGGGAATAAAGGTGTGAACTACTATATTCTAATATACTGTCTAATACACTGGCTTTTTTTTTTTTTTTTCCCCGAGATAGGGTTTCTTTGTAGAGTTGGAGCCTGTCCTGGAACTAGCTCTATAGACCAGGCTGGCCTTGAATGAACTCACAAAGATCCACCTGCCTCTGCCTCCTGAGTGCAAAGGTGTGCGCCACCACTGGCCACACTGGCATTTTTGAAGATTGGAAGATAAGCAGAATGTTATGTGGGTCTGTGGGGCTTGCCTTAGTACTCTATTAGGGTGTTCTGTGATGAGGTGAGGCCCACCTGGGCCTCTAGCCAGCTAAGGTCCTTCAGCATCAAACTGCTGGCTTCTTTGGTTCCTGAAGAAAACTGATAGCCAATTGCCTGTCCCTTCAGGACATTCACATCCTACATCAGAGACTGTTCGGGCCTTCTCCATCTTGTTCAGGATATACCTGGGGACTGATCATTGCTTAGCTGCCCCAGGGATTTGATTTTCCTTCTAGATAGAAGATAGACCAAGATACTACAGTACAACCCAGCAAACATAGACACAAACTGCTTCTGTTAATCTGTTGCCCTTGGCTGGCAAGATGGCTTAGTGGTTAAAGGCATTTGCTGCTAAGCCCAATGACCTCAGTTCTATCCCAGAGCCCCACATTGTGGAATGAGAGAACCCATTCCCACAGGTTGTCCTCTGACCTCCACTTGTGTATCATGCATGACACAAATGTGTGTGCATACAAAATAAGCAAATAAACAAACATAATAAAAAAGTAACTAAATGGAAAGGAAAATTCAACTCATCACCCTGTTTTATTTTAGGACAAAGATGTGGCCCGACTCCAGGATTTCCAGGAGCTGGAGCTGGTTCTGATGATAAGTGAGAATAATTTTCTGTTCAGAAATGCTGCGTCCACACTGACTGAGAGACCTTGCTACAACCGGAGAGCTTCAAAACTGACATACTAACGTAGTAGGGCCTTTATCACTGAGTATTGTGACAGTATGTGTCACCTCTGGGCCAAAGGACAAGCCATTGATCCCAAAGCCTCAGATGCCCTCCAGGGCCCCTGGTGTCACTGCGTAGTGTACACTAACATCAGCCTCAGCAGGAGGGAACCCCGACCCCCAGCAGCGGTGCCACTCTTCCAAGCCTCTTGGTGCACAATAAACTTATTGCTGAATCTCTGAACAGCTGAGAAGTGGTCTTGAGAGGCAGAAGCCAGAGGTACGATAGCCAGTGTTTTATGTGCAGAGTCTAGAGTTGTCGACGCAGAACCTGAGAGCGGACCTATTTCCAGCCACTCCTGTTGACAGTGCACCTGAAGGGCCGGGAGCACTTCTCTTGGTGTTGCATGCTCGTGATTGATGCTCCTAAAATTGTGAACCGACTAGGGAGGAAGACTGGGGAAAGCAAGCACATGGCTGTGAGGGTTCACATAGCGTATTTATAAATGTTACTCAGGTTTAAAGTATTTAAAAATATAGTTACCTAATTGTAAATAGGCTGTTAACCAAAAGAGCTTCCCCTCTCTCTCCCCCACTTTTGTTTTGTGACCACTCATGACTGCCACCTTCTCAGGACAGTCATCTTTGCGTCTCCTCCCGTCCACAGTCACTAGAGGGCTCTCTAATGCTTTCTAAAGGAACCACTACATTTTTACTCTGAAGCAGTTCCTGTCATCCTTGTTGAATTGCACCGTTCAAGAAGAGCACAAATACTGCTGGTCCACGCCCACCACTCTCACTTCCCACCAGAAATGAAAAACAGTTTTTGAGCCTGAATTTGTTGCTGTTTTAACGGTCATTGTAGGAAACTGAACTAAAGGAGTTAGCATCTTTATTTTTGTATCAAAGATAAAGGTTATTTTGGAAATTATTAGGATTTTTACATAACTCTGAAATCTGTTGCTTTTGTAAACAAATTATTGGATCTTAGGAATCCCCCTATCACCACCCTCAGTCCACTGGACAAGTCAGTTGTGAGCACCCAATCAGACTCCGGAGCATGGCGTAAGGATCTTTCCCAAGAGTTCAGAGAGTCTTCCCCTTCTAGGCATCGTTAAAGTTGGAAAGCCTCTGTTTTGCTGAAACAGCTTAACTTGAGAAATAGGACCTGGCCCATGCAGACAAACAGGAGAGCAGGGGCTGGAGTAGCTGTTGATGAGGATCCCTGCTGTCTTAAGCTTTCTCCCCATAGTGCCTATAGTTTCCAAAGAAACTTAACTTCCTGACTATTAACTTAATTGTATTAGAACACTGCAGTTGAATGAGAACATGCAGATGTCGTGGAAGAGGATGTTGTGCTGAGGTCATGGCCTCCCGCTGCCACCTGAACGCTGGAATGAAGTTGAGGTGTTCAAGGCCAGCTTCGTGGGATCACTCTGTGTAGTGGATTAATCATACCCACCCCTGGTACAGCTGGTGACTTCCTCTTGTAGAGTGTTTGCATAGCCGAGTGGCGGTTGCTCAATCCCCCCCTTCTCCCAAGTGCTTTAATGAGGAAACCTCCCCTGTGTTTCAACCCATCAGAATCTACTTTACTAGATGTACTAACCTTCCCCCCCCAATTTGTTTTGGAAAAACTTAGTTTACTGATACAATTAAGTGTGGTTCTATCTTGGAAGAAATAAATTCAGTATTAATTCATGTCTAAATTACTGGGGTTCAAACTCCATCAGCCACCCCAATTGAGAGCTTCTCGGAAGCAGTAGAGACCTGGCTGGGAGGTGGGCTACAGAAGAGTGAGTGCTCCAGAGCGCAGAAGCAGAGTGACCAAGGGTCTTGGTGTCCCAAATGGGGGACAGGTTCCACCTGGCTCTGCCCGATGCCCTGTCCTTTGCTGAAGTCCTCTGTGGTCATTGCCTCTGGCAGTGGGATGAAACTGCATGGTTGCTCTTAGGTGAGTTTGAAGTCTTAATCTATGCATTCAGAGAAATATTTTTATATGCTTTGTGTAATTTATAACAAGGGATTTCTTTCAAGCGTTGTTAACTGAATGCACTTCTCTACTGCATACTGAAAGCATGCGTTCACACTGTGTAAACATTCACAGGAGACTTTTCCTTGTGTGTTGTTGACTGTTCAGACATAACAGGTATTATTAAAATTAAATGTTAACTGACCACGTCCATTTTTTCTCATTTTGCCCTCGTAAACAGCCCTGTATTCCAATCACAGAGGGTTCAGATTGCTGTCAGGCCCCATGGGGCTGGCACTGGGAGGGAAAGGGAAGGACCAGCTCCCCAGCTGAGCCTCCTCCACCCCGCGGCCACTGCTATTCCAACAGCACTCAGGCCTCGTCAGTAGCAGCTGGAGACAGATTCTCTGTGGGTCTTCCCTCCCAGTTCACGGCAGTCACTCTGCTTCCCTGGAGCCGCTGAGCCGGTTAGATAGAGGTCATCCCCTATTAACCGCAGTTTTTGATTATCCTATTTACTTGACACAACTGAGCCTCCCCTTTGGGCTGTCAGCACCTGTCATGGCCTCCATGAGTTCAGAAGCAAACGGCCGAGGCAGGAAAGGAAACAGCCTCCCACCTTCAGATTCCTAGCTGAGAGGCATGCCAAATGACTCTCCTGTTGGTGCAGGCCAGCTAGTGCCTCACAGAGCAGACGTCATGCCAAATTGGCCTAATAAATCAGAGAGCATAGCAGAGACCTTTTCTTAGCACCGAGGAGAGGCAGAATAATTTGGGCGATTGTGCTTTCATCCTTGCGATAGAGCAAGGATGGACGTCGCCTTCCATATACTCGGAAACAACCTGCCAGAAAAAAATGGGATTAACCTTTAACAAATGGTCCTGCAGCATAGGCCAGCCCAGGGCATATAGAAAAAGCAGATCAAAGGCACCATCTCCTCAGCCTCCTCAGCGACTGGCAAGCACTTAGGGTGAGGAAAGAAAAACAGCCACCACCTGCAGCCAGTCACTTTTCACCAAGAGTAAGGGTACAGATGAGGGTGAGAAAGCCGAGGAGGTGGCGGAACATCCATTTCACATGGAGCCCTGGTTCCAGGTGAGCTCTGCAGAGAATAAATCTTTGTTGATTCATGCAAAATGGCTCCAAGGGGCCAGGGAGGCAAGGACCAGGGACACTCCTGAACTTCCTGTTCGCCCAGTTGACCTGTGGAGACGGAATGACCAGTGGTCTTCCTGGTAAACAGGCATCTAAAGGAGCCACTTTAACCCCTGGAGAACAGGCTTGGAAGACAGCAATGACAACGACATAGCCCCAGTAAGTTTCTCAACAGCTCTTCCGAGAAACTAAAGCCTCCGGTCAGATTTCAGGGCCTTTATTTCTTACCTTCCATATCATCTGCCCAGCGGAGTGGGAGGCACTGTAATTTCGCTGTGAATTTTGGCTATGAAGATGGTATTTGCAGCCAAAAATTCCAGGTCTGAAGGTTTCAGATCACTCAGCCACAGAGAAGTGTAGGAGGCCCTTCACTTCTGGTTCTTCACAAAGGTTCTAGCCCCCCCAGGCTTTAGAGACGCATAGAAGGAGGCAACACATGCTGTATCTGCTGTTGACCACAGTTTTATTTCACACGTATCTTATCTGAAGTGGATTCAGACAGCACCAATACGGAAACTCCATTCCTGGGGCAGACAGCCTGACCTAGCAGTCCCTGACCCAGGAGGAGGAGGGATTGTTTAAAAAAAAAATGGAAAATATGAAAATGTAGAGGCAGGAGTGAGGTCTCAAAACAAAACAAATCGAAACTGCAGTCCATATTGCCGGGTGCTGGTGGTGCATGCCTTTAATCCCAGCACTCAGGAGGCAGAGGCCGGTGGATCGAGTTCGAGGCCAGCCTGGTCTACAAGGGTTAGCTCCAGGACAGGTGTCAAAGCTACAGAGAAACCCTGTCTTGAAAAATAAACAAACAAAACCCAAAACTGCAGTATGGGACTAATGGTAGACTAGGCCGGGAGACCCAGGCGCTGGTCTCAACCAGACTTTTAACTAGATTCCCACTCACTTCCTCATTCCGGTGATAAATATGGCTAGTCTGGGAGGCAACTTGCAGAATAATAATAATAAAATAATAAATGTCACAAATGTCCCCACTTATTGCCATCAAGTCCATTCTGCAGTTGACAATTCAGACAAGGAAGAAACCCTTGGAATGTATTCTAGGCGAGTCCGGCATCTTTGGCCATCCCATAGAAGATGCCTCCAGCTGCGATGAGGTTGGTTGGAGAATCAAATTCAGCTACTACCCCTTTGTCCAAGACCAGGACCCTAGCCAAAAGAGAATAAGTAGTTAGGTCTCCAACAGTGTAGACCCAGCCCTGGAGGCCAGCCCTGCCCTTTGGGTACAGCTCAGGCTCCGCAGTGACATGTCAGCCCACCCACTCAGCCAGCCCACTTAGCGCAACTGATAGGCCACACGTGCACACTCGCGAGGCTGGTTATTTTCGCTATTTTGTTAGCTGTCCTAGTGCACGGCGCAGTGTCAGGAATCAAACACAAAGTCCTATTCATCTCTGCTAGTCTGGGCTTGGAAAGCCTTCCCTAATGAGCCCTTCCTCTTGCTGGGGTCGCAGGGCTGTTCAGATGGCTGTGTGCAGGGAGTCACGGGCCTGCAGTAGGCCCGGTGGACATCCATCTGTTTTATGCCAGCTCACAAAGGCACACGGCAGGAAACCAGGCTGCAGTGAGGCCAACACTGCAATCTGGGACTTGGGCTGCTGCTGCTGTTGTTGCTGCTGCTGCATGGATCCACTGCCCCACCCCAGGCAAGCCCGAGCCTGGCGTTAGAGCCTCTCCTATCAGCCACACACAGCAGGCACCTGGCAGAAGACCCATAGGCAGCTGTACCAGGGTAAGGTGGGAGGGTCAGGGGCCCCCAAGCCTGGAGAGAGACTCCTTTGTGAGAGGGGCAGGTTGCTTTCTGATCTCCACCTGCTGGGCTCCTACATTTGTGTTCTGGGAAGGAGTGCATGTTACTACCTGGCCCCTGTCCAAACCTGGGCCGGGAGGCTGTTTTCCAAACTCAGCCTCCAATGGCGTCTCCTGGCCCTTAACATGAAGACCAACTGAATCTGCACGGTCTTCAAGAACAGCTTTGGGGGCTGGTTCTTCTCTCCGGCTCCACTCTCTAGCCTCGGTACTCCCTGCCTTGGAGCTCTGCTGCCTCTATTTCTGAGGCCTTCACCCCATCCCTTCCTCTCTTCTCCTCTCTCACCCTTTCCCCATCCTTTGGGTCCACCTGGCACTGCCCTTCCTTAGAAGAGAAGGCCCTGCCACCCCGTGTAGACTGACTTCTCTGCTTGCACACAGGAATCCCTGCTTACTTCCTGTGGGCTCTAATTACAGGCTCTGTAACCTGACTCTCTGATTAATTTCTGCCTGCCCTTTCAGAATGAGTGAACTCCCACCCCCCACGGTGGCCCCGAACCTCCCACCCTAGGGCTGCTGGGGCATGGATCTGGGAAGATCCTCTCAGCCCCGCATCTCTCCTCAGAGGCAGAGCCCAGCTCTTGCAGCCTGCCTGCATTCTTTTCCCAGTGGGGTCCTAAATGGGAGTGGGGGCTAGGAATAGGGTAAGGATGGGACACACACAGGGTAGCATCAGGCGTCCCCTCCCCAGATCCTGCTGGCTGCATGGGGACACTTCCAAGAGAAAGCCTCGGATGACTCATCCCCCTACCCAAGGAAGCCATGAGATGCCGAGGGCAATGCTGTCTTTCTCACTCTAGGAAGAATGATTGCTAAGGGAACCACAATACATAGGCTTTATGGGGACTGGGGAGCAAGCTGACATTTCTCGGTGTTCCCTTAAGTTTAAACATAATTTCGCTGACTCCTTACAGCAGCAGTTCCGAAAGACATGGAACAGCCCAGAGAAGCTTCACGAGTGACCCACAGTCCCACAACAATCAGTCTCAGCACTCTGGCTCAGACACCATGCCTTTCTCACAAGTATCCGCTCTTCCGGGCACTGTTAGGGTCTAGTCACCAAGGATGGGACCCAGGAAGCTGTCATGTACCTCCCAAGCAACTTTCTCTCATTCCCTGTGACCTGTTGTGTGTCCCCCACAGGCGGTGGTGAGATGCGGATGAAGTGATAGTCATGTAAACACTCCACCAGCAAGCTTGGATGGGACCTGAGGAGCCATTCCCCTCCCCTTTCCCATTCACAGCAAGGAGCACGGAGGCAGTCCATGCCCTTTCCAATGTCTAGGGAGCCTGGTGTACAGTCCCACTTGTTGGTAATTCCGCAAGGACCCTGTGCCTTTGCAGATATCACTGAACCCAATTAACCCTGCTCTGTTCTGCCTCTTAAGCATAACTTGGGAACCCTATCCTGGACTCCCATGCCATAGCCAATTCCAAGAGTCTCATGTTTAGATACTTTCATTGGCCCTGCCTCTTCCAATCTCCCAGGTGATAGCCACAGATACCCTCACCACCCCTGGCTTTCCATGACCCACCTGTTGTAATCCATGATTGTGTTGAGCCGGTGGGCAATGGTCAATACAGTGCAGTCTTCAAACTGGGTACGGATGGTGCCCTGGATGAGGTCATCGGTCTCCAGGTCAATGGCAGCAGTGGCCTCGTCTAAAACCAGGACGCGGCTCTTGCGGAGCAGGGCTCGGGCCAGGCACACGAGCTGCCTCTGGCCAACACTGAGAAAGAAGGCAGGAGTTGCCAGAGAGGTATCCAGGCTACCTTCCCGGCCTTGTTTCCAACCTGTTTGCCTCTACTTCCTCTCAGCAGCCCAGGACTGTTTCTCTTTCCTGGTTCTGCCACAGCCCTCTAGGAGCAGGGAGAAGGCTTTGTACTATCATGAGGGACCTGGAGGGCCAGACCCAGAGCCAAGCATCACTGCGAGAGCTCTGCTGTATGTATTCTCAGGTCTCTTTCTCAGTTCCCTTCCAGACCACATTCCTCAACTATCGCCACAGTGTCTTTACCTCGTATCGTCAGTCATTCAGACGCGATAGTAAGAACATACTGGGACTGTGCTTCCCGGATATTTGCATACAAGCCACTCACGCCATCTTGCTAAACTATGATTAGACCGTTCTGGCAGCCATCTCCTACCCACACAGGGAAGAGAGAGCACGGTTCTATTTGGGAGGCAAGGAAGGGAGGGACCTGGGGACTCCCCATCTTTCTTCACTTAAATCAGGAGGGTGGATCCTTATCTTCAACCTCCAGCCTTGAAAGCCAGAACCAGTAAACAAAGCCAGGCTGTGTTCCCAACCACAGAGGCCACAGCACACCCCCTCTCCCCCATACACACACACACACACACACACACACACACACACACACACACTCAAGGACAAATACCTCAACCCTTCCCAGAGGGGTGAGTCACAGCCAAAGTAAAGACCGGCCTCCCTCCCTGGCCTCTTCCCGCAACTAATGAAGGATCTGGCAGCAGAACGAGCTGCCAGATAGAACTCAGGGCTGATTAATGGTGGGCCTGGCACAGGCTGCAGGTTATACTTAAAGTGACCACAAGCTCACTGAGGGAGGAGGAGGGACCGTTTCTGTCTCTGAGGTTGGTGTGAAGGGCTACAGATGCTCTTGGGGAAGTGCTGGGGACTAGCAAGCAGCTAGGAGCTCTAGAGACAGAAGCTGGAGAGCCCATACTGCTGCCAGCCATACAGCATGTAGTTATGTAAGTAGAAGCCGATCAAAGGTACACAGTTATCCTTACTGCGTGGTTTTTTTTTTTTTGAGGGGTAGGGGGTAGAGGGGTTGTACTGGGAATTCAGTCCAGACCTCACATCCACTAAGCAAGAACTACATCTCCATCCAGCCAAGGCTAACCTTGAACTTTCAATTTTCTTGCCTCAAGTAGCTGGGGCTACAGGTATGTGTCACTGGGCCTGCACCACCTGTTTTCTGTTTGAGGAAGCCTTGTGATGAAGGAAGAGAAGTGATGGGGACAAAATCTCACATCTCCTTAAGGCCCCTGCCCTGCCTCTGCCTGGCCAGGCAGTTTTGGGCAAGTAATTCCGTTTCTATTTCCAGCCCACAGGGCAGCAGAAGAGTTGAAATGAGATGGTGGAGGCCAGACGACTTTGAATACTGCAAAACATTAAGCACTGGGCAGATGTGACCTTTTGTTTGTTTGTTTCAAGTTTTGAAACATGAGTATGTCCTGAATATAAGGAGGAAAACGAAGGGTTAGGAATGTAGGGCACGGTGAAGTGTTTCTGAGCATGTGCAAGGTCTTGGGTTCGACCCCAGCACCCAAAGGAAAGAGTAAGGAAAAAAAGAGAGGGCAGAAAGGGCAGAGAACTCGTTGACACTCCACAGGAGTGCACACGGGCTAAGTGCTTCTCAGCGGAACTGGCCCAGGATTGCTCCCTTCAAAGTGAAACCACTGATTGGGCACATCTGGCTCTTTCATACTTGAATTGTAGCTATTCTGGACAGAGCTATGCTGCAAATGGAAAATACAGCCAGGTGTGGTATATCACCTCAGGAGGCAGAGGGAGAGGCTGCAGAGGCAGAGGCAGAGGCAGAGGCAGAGGCAGAGGCAGAGGCAGAGGCAGAAGTAGAGGGAGAGAGATCTCTGTGAGTTCTAGTCCAGCAAGTTGTAGGACAGCTGGGGCTACGACTAGAGAGTCCCTGTCTCAAAAAACAAATAACCTCCAGGTAGCGGTGGTGAACGCCTTTAATCCCAGCACTTGGGAGACAGAGGTAGGCAGATCTCTGAGTTCAAGGTCAGCCTGGTCTACGCAGTGAGTTCCAGGACTTTCAGGGATACAGAGAGAAACCTTATTTTGAAAAAACAAACAAACAAACAAACAAAACAACAAAAAGAAAATGGAAAATACATACAGGATTTTAAACTTCTGTGGAAAAAAATATCCATGATAACTTCTTTTTTTTTTTTTTTTTTGACTTTTCGAGACAGGGTTTCTCTGTGTAATAACATGTACCACCACCAGGCTTTTTTTTTTTCTTTAAAGATAAGGAACTGTGATGTAGCCCAGACTGGCCTTAAAATTAAGATAATCCTCCTGTTTCAGCCTCCCAAGGTCTGAGATGATAGACATATACCACCTACTAGCTTTTATATTGATGACACATTGACTATTATTTTAGATACATTGGGCTAGATAAAATATGCTTTTAGAATTTATTCCAAGGCCTATTCAGTTAGATGGTTCAGTGGATAAAGACACTTGCCATTCAGCCTGATGGCATGAATTTGATTCCTGTAACCCAATTTTAGAAAGAGAGGACTGGCTGGGCAAGATGGCACACGCCTTTAATTCCAGCACTCGGTAGCAAAGGCAGGCAGATCTCTGTAAGTTTATAGGCCAGCCTAGTCTACAAAGCTACAGCTAAACTCTGTCTTGAAAAAAATCAAAAAAAAAAAAAAAGAAAGAAAAAGAAAAGAGAGAACTAACTCTTGTAAATTGTTCTACACATGAGTGCCACTAAACAAACACATTTTTAGAAATATATATTCTACCCGGTATGGTGGCATACCCCTATAATTCTAGTATTCCTCAGGAAACTAAAGCAGGATTACTTTAAGTTCTAGGCTAATCTGAACTACATTGTGAGCCTGTCCCAAAAAATGAGGTAAGAAAATTAACTTTTTAAAAGATGTGTTTTTATTTATGTGTATGCTTGTGTGTCTGTGTGACTATATGCCATGTGTGTGTTGTGTGTGTGTGTTGTGTGTGTGCCTGTGGAGGTCAGATGAGGGAACTGGGTCCCTTGGAGCTGAATCTACAGGCAGGCATGAACCACCTGATGTGAGTTCTGAGAACCAAACTCTGACCCTCTGGAAGAGCAGCAACTGTTTTAACCTCTGAGTCATCTCTCCAACCCTGCAGCAAGTGTTCTTAACCACCAAGTCATCTCTCTAGCCCCAAATTAATTAATTAATCCACCTGTTTATCCTTGTTTGTTTGCCTCTCTTGTTATCATCAGTATTATTTTTATTATGTGTGCATGCCTCTTTGTGTGTATATGTAGTTATGTGTATATAAGGTCTGTGTGTGTGTGTGTGTGTGTGTGTGCAAATGTGGAGGTCAGAGGATAACTTTGTAGAGTCGATTCTCTCCTACTTTTACCTTGGTTCCAAGGATTGAACTCAGGTCTCCAGGTTTGTGTGGTAAGCATCCTACTCTACTGAGCTACCTCACTGGTCCATGCCTTTCTTGAGAAGGGGTATCACTACTGCCTATTAATATGACTACTAGAAAAAAAATATAATTATATGTATGTGTGTGTAGCTTGAATTATAAGTGTTTATTATATATATGTGTGTGTGTATATTTTGCCTGCATGTATGTCTGTGTACTTATATGTGTGCAGTGCCTACCAAAGCCAAAAATGAGGTTAGATTTCCTGCAACTGGAGTTACAGCAAGTTGTGAGCTGCCATGTGGGTACTAGGAATTGAACCCGGGTCCTCTGGAAGAGCAGCCATTGCTCTTCACTACTGAGCCACCGCTCCAGCCTCATATTACATTATTATCAGGAAATGCAATGCAAGCAGGCATAGACTATTATTATCCCTATTTATATAGTGAATGTAAAAGAGACACAGAATGGTTAAGCAACTTGCCCTAAATCACACAGTTAGGACTAGGAACATGACTTAGTAGTAAAGAGCTTGCCTAGCATTGGTGAATCTAGCACCAGAAACAAACTCAAACAGAATACAAAAGAAAAATCTAGGTATCTTGAGGTTTTTGACTCAGTAGGAACAGATTGCTGATCTCTGGACCACACAGCCCAGAGGCTCGGGATGTGGAACCTAACGGTCTGGAGGGGGCACAGGGAATACAGAGAACCTACTTTGTATATTCCTGATCTGACTGCCTCCCTCCTGGCAGACATATTTAGCTTTCCAGAGCACATAGGCTTCCTCTCACTTGTGCCACAGGTACATACATGACCCTGGAGCCCAGAAGATTCCAACAAGGGTGGGACTGTTCCATCTGAATGTCACTGGAGTAGAATTAGATGAGAACCAGAGCTGGTTCAAATCCCAGGTATGCCTTCTCTTAGCTGTGCAACTTTGGCTAATCCCCTGCCCTCTCTGAGTTTGTTTCCTAAACTGCCAAGGGAGTCTTGTGTGAGCAGTCTGAGGAAGCGCCATGTGCCTTCAAGGATATACTCCATAGGAAATAACATCCCTGTGCAGCCCCGGCTGAGGCGCATGCCTGCGTGGATTAGGGGCTCATCAGGATTCTGCCCAGCACCCACAGGACCCCCAGTTGGGGGCAGCATTCCTGACACGTCCAGCCCCATTCCTACCTGAGATTATCCCCACCCTCTGAGCACTGGAAGTCCAAGCCTGCTGGCTGGCTGCTCACAAAGGCATGGAGGTGGGACAGCTCCAGGGCCCTCCAGATGTCCTCCTCTGAGTAACGGCCAAAGGGGTCCAGGTTCATGCGCAGGGTCCCCGAGAACAGGATGGGGTCCTGGTGACATAAAATCAGGGAGAAATAGCTTATACCCTAGAGGGAACCTCAGGAGCAGGGAAAGGAAAGTGACCAGGCAGCAGCTCTCTGCTCTGTCCCTAGTCTTCCAGAAGGGGGACATTACCAGGGAGATAACAAAGCTATCTGTGGGGGAGTGATAAACCTCAGCCTGGCCAGTCGCTAAGTCCCCTGCCTGAGGCAGGAAGCAGGGCCACTAATCTGCTTCCGAAGTGTCTACTTGGCAGAAAAACACCCTAAGGATCCAGGAAAGGCTGTGCCACTGGGAACGGTGCATCCAGGAGAGAAAAACAGGAAACCTCCGGCCCTGCTGTGCTGGGAGGAGCCTGGGGTCCTTCCCACGTGCTAGTTCAGGAGCCCAAGGGCAGTCCTGACTGGCTGAGGTGTCTGCCCTTCCAGATCTGTGCCTGGGTGGCTCTTGTGTTGACTCTCTCTGCTCCCCTCTGTGGAGGCCTCTCTCCAAGCAGGCCCCAGGGCTCAGTTCTTAAGTTCTTGAAGTTTCAGGGTTTGGGAGAGGGGTGCAAGGAGGAGCAGGATCAGCAGGTTCTTACCTGGGGGATGATGGTGAGCTGAGAACGCAGGTCATGGAGGCCAATGTGTGCCACGTTGAGTCCGTCGATGCAGATCTCACCCTCTGCGGCCTCCAGGATTCGGAACAGGCAGAGAGTCATGGAAGACTTGCCAGCCCCAGTACGGCCCACAATGCCTACCTGTGGGGCATGGGAAAGGTTGTCGGGGGCATCTCTAGGTTTCTGTCAGCACCCCAATGGATAGCCAGTTCCAGCATCCATGTTCTCCCCACAAGGGATGTGGCAAGGTCCCCAGGCACCAGTACCTTCTCGCCACCCTGCACACGCAGGGTCAGGTTCTTCAGCACCAACTCAAGGCCCGGACGGTACCGCACTGAATAGTTCCGGAACTCCACTGCCCCACGTGTGGGCCAGCCTTCTGGAGCACGGTTGCCCTCTATCACCCAGGGGGCCTAGCAGGAGACAGTTGGGTTCTTACGGTTTCATCAGGGTAACCACACCTGTTCAATCCCTCTCCCGCTGCTCAGCCCCATCTTTCTCCAGACACCTCAATCCTCATCCACCATGGTCCCTGATGGGGAGGCCTGACACCCTGTGGTTCAATGAATTCCTTTATCCTTTGATGGAACCCAGGGGCTCACATGTGCCAGGCAAACAGGCTACCACTGGGCCACGCCCCCAGCCTTTTCTCTTTTATTTCATTCCCCCAAATGCTAACTCCAGAACCTCTCTGTCCTGCCCCTACCAATCTGTTACAGATCTCTGAGGTTTGCTTCCTGCCTGCTTTAGCACCTCCTTTCATCACCTTTATTCATTCTTTACTACTATGTGTCACCAATGAGACATAGCTCTCCTTCTAGGAGGCTTGCATTCCAGCATATACAAGGGTGCATGGTTTATACATCAGCAAGTCTCTATAGCGAAACAAATGGCGGGGGCTTGGGACCAGAAGAGTCTGGGGTTGCTCTTCTATGCATTATTCAAGAAGGCTTCCTGGAAGGGGTGACAGCAGTAACCTGAAGGAGGTGATAGAGGGGTCAAGGCAAGTGGCTGTCTAGAGGAAAGAAACGACAGACAAGGGGACGCTGTTTGCTGTTTGCATTCTGCAGTACAGGGGCTGGTACTCTGAATTCCTTCCCAAGTGCTGGGCTTACAGGCACCAACCACCAGGCCAGGTTTATTTGATATTCAGCAATAGAACCCAGGACTCTGGGCATGTTTGTTCCGCACTTTACTGAAAAAGTTATCACAGTAGACCAGGCTGGGCTTGAAGTCAGAGGTCCTCCTGCCTCTGCCTTCCTAGTGCTGGGATTAAAAGACTGCACCACCATGCCCAGTTCCCAGTGGAGTTTCAAAGGGTCTCATTGGGCACTTCTAGGAGAACAGACTTGCCAGGTAAATCACGAGTGAGCTGTTTTCGTGGGAAGCAGGCTAAAGCAGGCTCCAGCAGGCACGGGCCAAGGTAAGGAAGAAGTAAAGCCTGTGTAGATCACAGCTTAAAACGTACTTCATGGGTAGTGGTGGCGCATGCCTTTAATTCCAGCTCTTGGGAGGTAGAGGCAGGCGGATCTCTGTGAGTTTGAGGCTAACCTGGTCTACAGAGTTAGTTCCAGGACAGCCAGAACTGTTACACAGAGAAATCCTGTCCCGAAAAAAAAAAAAAAGCAGACTTCACAACAAAGGAAAGCTGAGAACTGAGGCAATGTGTTGCAGGGGAAAGTGGGGTGGGAGTTGTTTGTGTCTAGAATAGAAGGTGAACATAGATGAGAATCATCCAACAGAGGGAGCAAGACAAATGGTCTAGTGGAGGAAGCCATAGTCTATAGCACACGATCTGATAGAAGCCGAGGGGCTGGACTATGAAACGAGAAGGGAAAACATCAGCTCAAAGAGAAAGGAAGGAGGAGGAGGAGGATGCTGCCCAGGCAGCACTGAAGAGCTGAAGGTGAAGGGAGTTCACATCATCTTTAACCTATTTTCTCACGGAAGGAAGGGTCAGGCAAGGTGGAGGGTTGAGCACAGAGAACAGAGGCAGCACAAATTCTAATTGTTCTTAATAAAAGCCTGGAGTCAGATATTAGGGGGTGAAAGCTGAGAGATCAGAGAAGCAGAGCGACCAAGCATTAGAGAGACCTCTACCGATGCTTAGACCAAAGAGGTGGTCCTATCCTCAAACTGCCTCCTCAGTCTGCATCCTCTGACTGCATCCTCAGACTGCATCCTCAGACTGCATCTCCAGACTGCATCTGAGTTCCTGTCTCCTCCAGCCTTATAGTCCCCTCTCTGCCCAGCCCTCTCCCTTCCTGTCTTCACCTCCCTAGTACTAGGATTAAAAGCACGAGTCATCACCGCCTGGCCTCTAGTGACTTAGCTCTGTTCTCTGATCTTCGGGCAAGCTTTATTTGTTAAAACCAAAACAAAATATCACAACACGCAGATGTGGTTTGAGGACAGAGAATGTTCTGAAGAGACCGTTTTGAAAGTGGGAGCACATAGTTCTCAGCGAAGCGAAGCAGGGATACCAGATGTGGAGGGTGGTTATGACATTAGTGATGTCGTTCTCCAGCTCACATTAGCTGCTCTGCGCAGGTATGACATGGACAAGGGGGCTCAGATAAGGTGGGGGTTTGTAGGCAGAGACAGGGACAGGTTGAGAGCCTCTCTTTAGGGAGCATAGAGTCCAGGCTGAACAGGGAAAGTGAGAAAGACAGGAGTTGATGGGGGGGGGGAACAAAGGCAGGTCACAGTGCTGGAATCTCATAGAGGGCAGAGGACTGGAGCCCTGCAACACAGGGATGGAGATCAAAAAAATGGGCTGCTTGACACTAAGAGCTCAGAGGTGGTGCAGCTTCTGGGCACGAAGAGGTCTGAACCACATCCTCTTTGGAGAACAATCTGTACCCACCCAGGAGAGAACAATTCTGGTGGTGGTGGTGGTGTATGCCTTTAATCCCAGCATTTGGGGCGGGGGCGGGGGAAAGAAAGATGGATCTCTGAGTTCAAGGCCAGCCTAGTCTACAGAGTGGGTTCCAGGACAGCCAGGGCTACACAGAGAAACCCTGTCTCGAAACCTCCCCCTACCAAAGAAGGGGAGGCATACTGTTCCACCTCTGTTTCTTTGACTGCGATGCTCATCTTTCCCCTGCCCCACCCCTACTTCATCTCACCTGTCAAAACTTGCCCATTCTCTGAAGCTCACTTGCTCCAGGATCACCCCAGATGTGTGTAGCCCCAGAGCCTTGCCATCTACATGCCTTGTGTCTCCCCCTGGCTCAGAATCTTTTGCTGAACTCTGAGCCCTCTACCTGTAGCCTTATATTCTGAGAGTGGATGGATGGATGGGTGGAAGCCACTTAAACAGCTGTCCTTGACGCACAGCGATGACAGGCCACCAAGCAGCCTTCCTCAAGTCATCGGGTACCTTCTGCTGCAGGGCTCATCTTGGAACTCACCTCGGTCTCAGTCTTGGAGTATTCCTTCACTCTCTCCACGGCTATGATATTAGATTCCAAGTCTGACATCATTCGTATCATCCAATTCAAAGCCAAGGTTACCTGAGTAAAGGAACTGTGTTATGGGAGAGGCCCAGCAGGAGCTTTCTTCTCTGATCTGTCCTTTCTAAGACCTACAGGTGAGTACTGACGAGGCCTCTAATCACAGCCGTGCCTCAGGCGGTGGCAGTGCAGACTCAGTGGAGGAAAATCTCACTCAGTGCGCCTCCAACTTTGATACGTATTAGACTTCTTGGAGCGCCCTGTCAAACGCAGTGCGTGAGTCCATAGGCCCAAGGCTCTCCACTCCTACCATGATCCCAGAATATGTCAGTGGAGCCAGTCCAGGGTCTGTCCTGGGTTACCAAGAGCCTTGCCAGCAATGCAGAATCCAAGCTCCAGCTGAGAACGGAAGCTTGTGAATGAGAACGAACATTTTAACAAGGTCTCCAAATGAGTCACATGCATATTAAGGTGCGAGCAGACAGGCCCTGTCAGCATCGCTTTCTGTTTACCAGTGCGTTCAGATCTGAGCCACCTGAGGCCCAGACAATGTGGTCAGCTTTACAAAAAATCCCATTTGCAGCTTGTATAACTCTTAGACCATGCAAGCTGGTGTCAGGGTGACCTCCAATCCTAGGCTCAAGTCACCTCATCTGTTTACTCCTCCACATCCACAGGGCATTGCTTCTGGACACCCTTGAATATACCTAAGTCCGCAGATGCTCAGGTCCTTCACATAAAATGGCTTATTGTTTACATGAAACCTACCCACACCCTCCCGAATGCTGTGAATGGCGTCTAGATTACTTCAGGTACCTAACACAAAGCCTACACGCCACTTCGGTTACATGCATTCAGAGGCTCCGTGAAGTCATCTTGTTTGTTTATTTTCTGCTTTTTTTTTTGGTAGAAGTTTCTAGAATATTTTGTCAGATTGTTTTTTGGGGGGGGAGGTTTTTAATTCTGCTTTGTTTTGAGAAAAGGTCTCACTATATAGTTCAGGTTGGCACTGAATTCACAGCCATCCTCCTGCCCCAGGAGCTAGGATTCCAGGCATGCACCATCATTCCCAGCCTTTTCAAGGGTTTTCTATCTGCAGTTGGTTGGTTCTTCAGTGAAGAAGAAGGATACAGAGGTCAGCTGTAGCTTCCCTGCAGGCATGCACCATATCCATGTGGTCTGGCCCGACAGTGCCCCACGTTCAGACCTCAGTCAGGTTGACCTACATCTTGTCCAGACATGACAGTTCTGTTTGGGCCAAGTTCCAAGATCATTTCTCTAGCACCTCAGAGTACAGAAACTCCTCCAAGCTCTTGGCCATTTCCCTCCCTTCTCTCCTCCCTCCCTTCCTTCCTGTGCTTGGATTTGAACCTAGGACCTTGCACATACTAGGTAAGTGCATTGCCAATGAACGACATCCCCATGCTTCTTGTCACACTTTCTTCTTCCTGCCAGGGAGACCTCCCCGGACTACAGCACACTCCCTGGTTGGCAGCGTCTTCCCGTGCCTGACTGATCTGCTTGTGAAGTGGAGGCGTGCACTCAGCAGATGGCTTGGGAGTCCTGTGTGTTCTCTGGCCCAGTGGTGGCCCTGCCTAGTGTCAATGGTCCCACCTTACCTGTAGGGCATAGGACACAGAAAGACCCACGATCCCTGGATTCAAGCTGTTTCTCCCGATCACCGCAAACAGGGCGGCAAAGAGCACCACGCAGTTCCCCACGAACTCCACGTTGACACCCAGCCATCTGTAGGGACCAATAGAGGGGAATGAACAAAGGCAGGGGGTGCTGGAGGCCCCCTAGAACCATAGAGAGCCTGCGGGCACCTGTAGGGGAAAGGGAGGCTCCTGACCGGTTGGAGGCGATGTAGGGGTAGGAGCTTTTCTGGTTGGTGTCCACCTTTCTATCGCTGAGGACCTTGAAGTCTTCAATTCTGCCATAGGCCCGGATGACACTGGTGCCCGTTACAGTCTCCGAAAAGTGGGAGAAGATAGGTGAACGGCTGATGGATTCCAGTCGCTTCAGCTGCCGGGATGTGGCCACATAGAAGCGCTGACCCGGAAGAGAAAGAGAACTCCAGTCAGGGATGTCAAACCACAACTCAGTCCTGCACGTCTTCCAAACAATTCCCTGCACTTCCTCCTCCTGCTCTTCTCACGAGACCTCGATGGCCTTTCCTGCGTTTCCTTGTAGAACGGATTCCAGACTTATACTCTTCCCCTCTGACCAGATTCGCTCAGCCAGTCAGCCCGACTCGTCCAGGAAGCTCTCCCTGATTCCCTGTGACCTCCTATCTCATCATCTTTTACGGACTATGACACTATCTTGCTTAGTTTCCCAAGTGATGAGATTTCTTGCTCCACTTAGACATGTGCTCACAGACAAATGACTGCAAAAATAATTTCATATCTTTTTTTTTCCTGAAAAAGTTTCTCTTACCATCTCTTCCTAGTCACTTAAGGGTAATAACCCCACAAAAGCATGGTTCTGCCTTCATTTTCTAGCCTGTATTCTGTGGGTCAAAGATAGCCAGGCCTGCCCAGGACTGGCTCACAGAAGACTCCTTACCTAGGGGGCTGTGGGCTGATCACCTCCCTGAAGAGAAAGATCCCAGTGATCATGAGCCCCTACAATGAGCTGCCTCTGAATGCAGAGCAACACAGATAACATGTACATGTCTAAGTATGCATCCGCATGTACATGTCTACGTATGCATCCGCATGTACATGTCTACGTATGCATCCGCATGTACATGTCTAAGTATGCATCCGCATGTACATGTCTAAGTATGCATCCGTAGGACGGCGTCTCTAGAACTGTTTACAGCGGTTTACTCAGATAATGCCAATAGGTGTGGGGGACTGAGGAGGTGGCTCATGCAGTAGAGGGCAGGCCACACCAGCATGAAGACCTGAGTTAAGGTTTCCCAGCACCCACATGGAAATCCAGGCATGGCGGTGCACACCTGTAACCCCCAGCACAGGGCAGGCAGAGGCAGGCAGATCCTTGATGCTCATTGGGCAGTCAGCCTAGCTGGAAAGGTGAGCTCTGCATCCAATGAGAGACTCTGTCCCAGAAAATAAGGTGGAGAGTGTTTGAGGGAGACACTCAGCATTGACCTCTGGCCTCCACAAATGCACACACACTTGTGCGCATGCACAAACGTGTATGAGTACACACCCCCACATAAATAACTAAATAACTAAATAACTAACTAAATAAATAAATAACAGCCAATTGGAAAGGGCCCATGGCTGTCAGTCTATAAACAACACATTTCATCATCCCTACGAATTAGATTCGAAGAGTCTATTTTACAGGTTAGATAAGGAAGTTTCAAGGAAGGGAAGCAACTGACCCAAGTCCCCGATCCAATCCAACCACAACCTAGCCTACAAAAGTGCCTGGTCCAATCAGAGCCCCCTCCCGCCACCCCCACCGTGAGCTCCAACACTCCGTGACCGCTCTAGAGCTCCACCTGCCCCACGTGGTGTCCCCACCCACCCTCGCTGTCACCTGCACGAAGCCGTAGAGCACAGCCAGAGGCAGAACAACCACAAGGAAGAGCGGCGTACTGGCCACGATGACCACAAGGGTGGAGATGGATATGAAGAGGGAATTGAATAACATGAGGATGGTGGGGGCCAGAACCTCATCGATGACATATATGTCCTTAGAGAAACGGTTGAGGATGCGGCCCGAGGGCGTCGTGTCAAAGAAGGACTGCGGCGAACGAATCTTGTTGTGCAACAGAGCTGCATGCAGCAGGCGGGCAGCCTGGACACTGCCGACCACCATGGTGAAGGCTGACAGCATCACCAGGAGCCCTTGTTAGGAGAGGTAGGAGATGAGTCACTTACTGTCACTGACTGCAAGGGAGGCAGGACAGAGGGGCAGAATGAGACTTGGGATGCCCCAGGTGGAATTAGGGAGGCTCTGAGACAGGGGTATATGGTTCTGTGGTTTGGGGAGTCAGCAAAGGAGAGAAGGGATGAGGGAGCCCCTTCTGGGAACCCCAGTAGGTTCACCTTGTAGTATTCCTAGGGCAGCGTAGACACCTAGCCTTTGGGAGGTGTTGTTCTGCCGGCCGTCTACCACCGCATCATTGCTCCAGGCACTGAGCCACACATTGGCCCCAATGGCTGCTGCACTTTGACCCGCATACAGGAGACAGATAGCTAGCGTGGTGTAGAGCCCCACAGACTTGGCATAATCCCAGAACACGTTCATCTTCACCTGAAAAGAGTGCCCACACAATCTCTACATGCCCTAGGGATCCGACCACCATCTCCAGCCCATGCCCACTCGACTCACGTTGCCTGTCTCGGCCGTCTCCTCTGTGATTAGTGCGCCAGTCTTCTTGGCCTTCATCACCTGCATCTCCTTCTCTGATGGATTCGTGTGTCTCTTGGGCACAGGCCGGTTCTGGGTCTCCCCTTCTGAAGACATGGAGCTCATCTGTCTGTGGAAGCAGCTGGTCAGACCCAGGTGAGGGACCACGGACATGCTCCCAGGTAGGGGACCACAGACACGCTCCCAGGATTTGAGTGTCAGAGACAATGTCCATTTGTATCCTACTTGCTGGGGTTTGGTGGCCCTGATGTAGCCTTCAGGGGGACTTGAGAACTCTCGGGAACTTACCTCATGAACTGCTTGCGGACCTCGTACATGGATGGCTCATTGTCCGTCAGGTCTGTGTGGGTGCTGAGCGTGTCTTCAACCAACAGCACCTCCTCATCTGCATCTTGCAAGGCTGCAGCAGGGAAGGAAAAGTCACGGAGGCTGATTGTTCCTTGTGCAGCCCTCGAGACCCCATCCTCCAGGCCAGTGGGAGGCTGGATGGACACGCAAGGGGGCAAGGAGAGAGTTTGAAAAGATAGCCAGAAGGAAGCCAGGCAGTGATGGCGCACGCCTTTAATCTCCGAACTCGGTAACAGTGACCTGTGGATCTCTGTGAGTTAGAGGCCAATTTGGTCTACAGAGTGAGTTCTAGGATAGCCTGGGCTATGCAGAGAAACCCTGACTCTGGGGTCAGAAACCAGTCAGAAGGAAATGGGCTAGGCAACACACACACACACACACACACACACACACACATCTTCCATTTGGAGTCTATAGAAAAGGGGACTTAATAGGCTGAAGACCTGGGCTCTGATGTCAGTCTGGCTGGCTGACCTTAAATTCTACTTCCTTGAGGGCAGCAGGGCCTCAGGCAGGCATTGCCAAAAGGTAATAATCATAGCTCGTGGTACCGCCATCACTGTGAGAACTAAGGGAAGGATGCTTCTCAAGGGCAGAGCACTGGGGTATGCTCTTGCCGGTTTGCTGCATACACAGCAGCAGGCAGGGAAGCCCAAGAGAAGGCCCCAGAACAGAGTGTTGAAGTAGAGGAGCCCTGACTGGGCAACAAAGTGGGGAGCTGGGCCTTTTGTGAGCACAGACATGACTCCGGGATTCGTGTTGGGAGGGGCTTTTTGACAGTCTACTGTCTGAAATAGTTCCAGGTCATATAATTATTTAACAAACTCCTGTTGGTAAATGAGTGATTTTGCCAAGCACTTAGATACTTACAAAGCAATTCAACCATAAAACAGCTATACGACATACTCCAGGTCTGAGCTCATGTGTCCCTTTTTTTTTTTCCTTTTCCTGGTTATTTGAGACAGGGTTTCTCTGCAGCTTTGTAGCCTGTCCTGGAACTAGCTCCTATAAACCAGGCTGGCCTCGAACTCACAGAGATCCGCCTGCCTCTGCTTCCCGAGTGCTGGGATTAAAGGTGTGCGCCACCACCACTCAGCTCATTCTCCATTTTGTAAATGTATCGTTGGAAAATTGACAGGAATTTCTTTCAATATGTAGATCACTTTGGGTAGCATGGAAAATTTCAACAACATTAAGTTTTAAAATCCACGGACACAAAACAGCTTTCCGTCTGCTCACGTTTTCTGTAATGTCTTTCACTGGTAGTTTTCCATTTC